ATCCACATCTATTTGTCTCGTACGCTTCATCACGGCTAGGCAGTCGCATTACGTCCCAATGCCTTTCTAAGTGGATCGTAGGTCTGATTTGGCTATGCTACCTACTCGCAAAACAGCCGTTACCTGGCCCTATCAAGGCTCATTCCACCAGGGCTGTCGCGACTTCCACTGCATTTCTCAAGGGAATTCCACTGCAAGACATCTGCAAAGCCGCAACGTGGGCCACACCTGACACTTTCATCAGGCACTACGCCCTAGACGTCCGAAAGAACATCAACGCCAACATGGGACGTCAAATTTTGTCTTCAGCTACGCAGTGATCATCCTGCCAGCACCCTCCTCCAGGTAGGCTACTGCTCGCTAATCTCCCATTGGTGTGAAGCACAGAGACCACGAAGAAGATAAACAGGTTGCTTACCAGTAACTGGTGATCTTCGAGTGGTCATCTGTGCATTCACACCACCTGCCCTCCTTCCCCTCTGCTGTCAGCTACCTTTTTGATTAGGAGTTGATATGCGGCAGTGCTTTGAAGGAACTGGCGGGATGTCCGCGCCCACCCTTCTGGGCATGCGCAGTGGGGTTCCTGCGCTTGCCTGAGGGAATGGGCGCGAAAATCCATTGAAAAGAGCTTGCTACAGCACCGGTTGATCCAGCGCAGGCGCACTAGGTCCTATTGGTGTGAATGCACAGATGACTACTCAAAGATCACCTGGGAGACCCGGTGGTAAGCAACCTGTTTTTCTTGTGAGTGTGTGTTTGGAAAAGCACGCTGCATTATCACAGCTGTTCTGTAATTTTAGGGACTTTAAAATCTCTAGTTGTCAGGACCAAAAGATGTTCATTTTACATCCATGGGGCACTTTTAGGCTGACTCCTCCTCTCATCCCACTCTGCAGATGAAGATCTCACAAGGTCCCTCCCTTTCTGGGAAGTGATATGTCCCCAGTCCATGTTCTGCCTCCTTTGCAGAAAGAGGTCTAGGTAAGAGTGTGTGAGCGGCCCCAGGTCATCCAGCAAGCTTCCATGGCAGAGTGGGGATTCGAACCGGGGTCTCCCAGATCGTAGTCCACGACGGTAACCACTGTACCACACAGGCTCTTGCGGCAAGGCATGGCTCCCCAGGTGTTCTTCGGACACCTGAGAATTTCAGTTTTCTCTCTCCTTTTGTCTGCCTTTTTGAAAACCGTTTCTAGCCATAGTAAAAACGTATTGACAGAATGCAAGGAGGGTTCTTAGAGTAAGGAAAAGACAAATGTATTATGTTTTTCTGTTTTATTTGGGGGTAGGAATTGGAGAAGGGAATAGTTCTGTCAGCTGGGAAAGCGCCTGTACTGAGGACTCTGAAGAAGCCCGCGTTTAAAAATTTGCTCTCTTCTGCCTTTTCCTCCTCTCTGTCTCCCTGGTGTCCCCCTCCTCGCCTTGGCCCTGGGCTAGGAGGAACAGAGTCTGTCCTTTGTCCTTGCGTCTGCTGCCAGCAGAAGGCCCATTTTCTCAAGCTGGCCCTTTTTTTTTGCGTATTCTCTGCCTGCCCCGTTGTGTGCCTCACTGGGCCGCTGCAGAACTGCCGGGCCAGGGGGGTTCAAGGAGCACTGCAGCTGTTCTCTCCCCCTGCAGTTGCTGGAGAGGCTTCATCTAAGGGTTTTGGGTGTGTTTTTTTACCCTGCCCACCTATTAAATCATGATGCAGAATTCATTGTCATTCCGACTTTGACTTCGTTAGCGATAACAGAGAAGGATAGTGCACCTTTAAATGACGAGCTTTTGTGTTTAATTACCCAAATAAAATGACATAAATATGAATGAGCGCTAATGGTGGTACTTGGTTTTTCCGGAAACCATTAACGATTCTTAAATGATTTGTAAAGAAAATGAGAGGAGAGGAGAAGCAGCAAGAAGGCTATTAGGCTTCTAACACACTCCGGAGTGATTATGTAGTCAACTACCTGGCAAACGCTGAGCTAAATGATCTTGCCACCAAAAAAAAGAAAGGAAGAAAATGATTTGCCACTGAGATTTTTTCTGTGGCTGGCGACACTTTGACCCCTCTCGTAATGCTCTTCACCACTAAATGGGGGTTAGGTTTCTCGACTGGTTACAAGCAGGAGAAATCGAATTCTGTGTGTGTGAAAATGATGTCCCTGTTTCATTTTGTTGCTTTTGAAACAAAGCTAATGAGAACTAGAAACTTGCTTAGAATAAAAGTCACGCTCTGGAGGCAATCCTGCAGCAGCTGCTGAATGGCTGTTGTGTGAAGACATGTTACACAGTAACTGGAGCTGCGGGGAAGCTTAGATTTCTCGACATGAGTAATTTCCAGTCTCTCTGTTTCTCTCTTCCTTCCTCCTCTCTCTACTGAAAGAAATAATGAAAAACTAATGCCTGCTTCCCAAAGAGGCCGTCGTCTGTGCCTTGCACGAAGCCTTGTTCTGCTCTCGCCTCCTTCCAGTCTGCTTCTAAGCAGGGATGATAATTCTGCATCTCTGCATTGGATGCAATTCAGTCACTCTTTTTGACAGCAGAACTGCTCGCCCATGATAGAGGTTTATAAAATTATGCATGGAATGAAGAAAAAGTGGCTAGAGGAGGCTTTTTCGTCAGAGAGCCAGTTTGGTGTAGTGGTTAAGTGCACAGACTCTAATCTGGGAGAACCGGGTTTGATTACCCACTCCTCCAATTGCAGCTACTGGATGACCTTGGGCAAGCCATAGTTCTGTCAGAGCTGCTCTCTCAAGGACAGTTTTCTCAAGAGCAGTTTCTGTCAGAGCTCTCTCAGACCCACCTACCTCACAGCGTGTCTGTTGTGGGGAGGGGAAGGGAAAGGGGTTTGTAAACTGCTTTGAGACTCCGAGTGAAGGGCGGGGTATAAATCCAATCCCTTCTTCTTTCTCCCTCTCCCACAGCACTAGAACTCAGGGGTCTTACCTGGCTGATGGCGGGGGTGCTCCTGCCCAGTCCTGGTATCTTCTGGCATGAAGCACACACCCCACAATGACATCAGCCGGAAGTGACATCATCACACTGGGCATATCATGCAGGGGACACGCTAGCATTTTTGGGGGGGAACTCTATGGTTACCATAGAATTTTAGCCAAAATGCTAGAGCATCCCTTGCACAATGTGCCCAGCACAATGGGGCTCTTCAGGGGTGGAGCTCCCCTGCTGGCCAGCTGGCTGTCAGGGGATTGGGGCCCCCAAAAGTGAGGAAACCCTGTCCCCATCAGGGTGTGTGTGTGTGGCAGCCCTGTGGGAGCTCCCGAAGAAGTTGATGAGCAACAGATGCAGGGCAAAAGGAAATGCTGCTTCATTCAGTGAATAATTGGGGAGTTAAGTGCCAGTGGGGGCAGCAATGGCCACGATCACAGATGACTTTAAAAGGGGGTTGGACAGATGCGTGGAGGAGAGGTCCAGCAACGGCTACTGGCCACGGTGAGCCAAAGGAGCCTCCATATTCAGAGGCAAGAAACCTGATACTCATGGTTAGGAGCAATGTTCCCTCTAAGCTGTGGAGTCTTGTGAGCAAAAATTCTACTTTGTGAACTGCTGGCATTAAAGTTGTGAGCGAGTGATTTGGCTGCTGCATAAATTAGTTTGCTCTGGAGCCCTCCTTCCTGAGCGGAGACAAAAATATGTGAGCTGGAAGCTAAAAAACTGTGAGCCAGCTCACACAGACTCGGCTTAGAGGGAATACTGGTTAGGGAGGCAACATCAGGGGAGGGCCTTGGCCTCTGTGCCCCATTGGCTGGCTCTCCAAGGCAACCGGTTGTCATCCCCTATGTGAGACAGGATGCTGGCCTGGATGAACCACTGGTCTGATCCTGCAGGAGCTTTTCGGACGTTCTTCTATGCTCAGAGGTGACAGTTTCACAACAGCGATTCTCACAGACGCATACAGAGAGTTTGGGCTCCTTTCAGAGCAGTGATATGCCGAATGTCAACCTTTTGGGGGAAAGAGAGGGATGTGTGCCTCCCCACTAATTCGTAAAGAAATGGGCCTCGGCTGTCAAGCAGTTGCAGAGCGGTGGTGCCCTTCTGCACCCGAGTGGGGTGACCTTTTGGACACAGTCCCAGAGAGCTAGCTTAGCATGGTGGCTCGAAAGGGAAGATTCCCTCATTCCCCTCTGGCTTCTGCCTCGAGTCTCAGGCAGACTTGCTCAGCCCTGCTCAGCTGTCAGGGAGGGGTCATAATGCTCAGCTTACGGGGTGGCGGTGGGGGTTATAAGCGGAAGGCACATGTGATGCACTCCTCTGCCTGCAGGCGCGTGCAGCTGCGTGTGTCATTATTGTTGCGCTCCCACAACATGGCCGTGGACACGCCCTCTGCACTTCTGCTCGGTAGTGGTGGCGGAAAGCAGCGTCATGTCACAGCCAGTGTGTGGACCGAAGTAGAAACAAAAAACTGTGCAGGAGTTTGCGCTAATAAATTTGAAATATTAATCAAAAAGATTTCATACAAAAGTGTGTACAATATTTGTATAACATATCCAATACAAGTGAAGACTGTGACCTCCGGAATGTTCTGCCTTTTTGACACAAGTCTTCGTCTGAACAATGATGTATACATGTGGTATCTCTCTGTTTCATTTCAACTGATTCATCATCAACAATTTCATGGATCTCTCAGGATTATCTAGTACATTGTAGAAACAGTGTCTAGAAAAGCCTTTCAATCAGCCACCCTAGTTCCCTCAAGCAAGCGCCCGGCAGCCACCGCTGGAGAGAGGCGACGGCCGAGGGCTTTTCTGGAGCAGACCCTTCTCTACTTGGTGCGTCTTCTCTAGCGACAAGCACTGAGAAGAAGGGCGGTCAGAACGTTTTGTGCCCATCCTCTTACTGGGTGGAGCCACTTAATCCGATTTCGGGGCTGGCCTCAATTGAGGGTGTGTGTGAGAGTGAGTTTCTGGGGTGGGGAGGGGGTTGATCTGTAGACCTCCCCCCCCCCGGTGGTGGTGGTGGCGGCGGCGGCGGCTGGAGCAATGACGACTTCTGGTCTGGTCCGGCAGGCGTACTTGTGGGACAACAACAAGGACTTGGTGGAGTGGCTGGAGAAGCAGCTGACGGAGGAGGAGGGCAGCCGCTCGGTGGTGGACGAGAACATCAAGTACATCTCCCGCGACTACATCCTCAAGCAGATACGGAGGTGAGGCAGGCGGAGGGGCCCCTGGGGGAGGGGAGGGGGGCACTGAAATTTGAAGCTAGTCCAGGGGCCCCCAGGGGCCCCCAGCCCTCTTGAGCCTGTGGCCTGCTTCGGAATGGGGACACAGGGCGGTGGTGGGCGCAACCACAGAACAGCAGCCGCAAAGAGGTCGAGCCGGCCACAGGATGTCGGGGAGTTCTATCATGTGTAATTCCAGCAGTGACTCTTCAATATTCCAGGCAGAAGCTCTGTTTGATGGGAGGCTTTTAAAAATGAAAACACAGTTTTAGAATATTTTCTGCCGTGACTGCCGCATCCCTTCAGTCACCCAGTGAAGATCCTCGTGCTGTTGTGGCAGCTGCCGCTGAAGCAGCGCTTTTATAGATCTGTGCACCCAGTCCGATTTCCAGTGGCCAATCAGAAGCCCTGCTGGAACAAAGCCCCTTCTGGCCCACCCAATTTTTCTAAAAGCATGTGGAAAGGTGTTGGGGCGAGGGCACCATGCCCACCTTGGGGACCCCTGTACTGGTCTGTTGGAAACCATCACGTCCCATCCCCCACCCTTCTTCCTCACTGGATGGCTTGACATGATTGCTAAAGACCAGTGCGTGCCACCCGCCCCCCCACCTCCCCCCCCTCCCCCCCCCCCCCAACCCCACAAATCCCTGCTTGGGGACCTACAGGACAGGTTTTCCTTTCTGAGCAACCAACCCTCAAGGAAAAAGCCCAGTTGGCAAACATTCTGGCGTGACCAGCAGACCTGTGCCTGGGTGGGGCTGGGGGTGCCAAGCCGCTCCCCCCACCCCCTGGTTCAGTCCCTGAGTCACACAGAGGAACTCCGGTCTCTCCTTCCCTGGAGAAGCAGCACACCCTCCTGACCGGCATTCTCTCTCTTCCCCCCCCCCCGCTCTTGTCTTAGTTTGATCCAAGCCAATCCGGAGGTTGCCATGGATTCCATCGTCCACATGACTCAGCATATATCGGCGACTCAGCGGGCCGAGATTGTGCGCATTCTCTCGACCATGGACTCCCCCGCCTCGACGTAGAAGCGGCTGCAGCGCCTGCGCGGAGGAACGAGCTCTGCTGCCCCCCTTCTTGCCTTCCTGACTTTTACATCCCTTTGCGAGGGGAAATGCTGGAAAAGGACTTTTTAAATTTTCTCCATTTAAAAAAAAGCCCCACGGAAACACAGATCACAGACTCGAACTGGAGAGAGCGTCTCCTCTCCGGTTTCAAAAGCCTTCGGGAATGCAGGCTCCCAACCAGTTAACTTATGGATGTCATTCTGGTACCTATTTATTTAACAGAGTGTGAATGGACCAGTGTGTCAGCTAACCGTTGTTTGTACAGCACTTTCAAGAGACGATGACGGGTCCGTGGTACCCCGAGGTCTTACAGGCCCCTCCTGCCTCCTTTCTTGGTTTAAGGCCCCACCCCACCTACGTTTGTCTGGTGTGGTTGTCACTTCATTAACCATTCCTGCCCTCCCAACGCTCTCTGTCCAGTGTTTGCCAACAGTACCGGTCTGTGGGCCAGAATGTAGTTGCCAACCTCCAGCTATCCTGGAATTACAGCTTTTCTCCAGTTCCCCTGGAGAGAATGGCGGCTTTGGAGGGTGGCTTCTATGGCATTACACCCGTCTGAGGTCCCTCCCCAACCCTGCTGTCCCCTAGGCTCCGCTCCTGAATCCCCAGGAATTCTCCAGCCCAGAGTTGGCATCCTTAGGCAGAAGCCTTGTAGCGCACCCTGTGCTTTGCCCGCCAGCTTGAGATCCCTCCCTCTGCCTGCCCTCCCTTTTATGTGCAGAATTTAAATCTGTCGTCGCTGTCTCCTTGGCTGGGCCAAAGACCTAAACTCCTTTGCCCTTGTCTGTTAGGTTTTTGTCTCCTGTGAGGAACAAAGATCCTTTGCCTTAGAAGCGGCCAGCGATCCTCTGTCACGTCCCACCTTCACAGCTATGCCTGTGCACAGCGAAGGCCGTCTAAGATGTGGCATTCCCTTCATTCCGCTTTGGATGCGTACCCAGGAAAGTTCCAGCCTAAAGCTCCCTCGCTCTAGAACAAATCAAGCAAGAGCCTGTTGTGGAAATCCCTGCCCGTAGATCTCTTAGGAGGGGAGGTTTTCTTTGTCGATTCTTTGTCATATAAACTGCTTGGGAAGGGGGAGGGGAAAGGGTGTGTGTCTCTTCCATAAAGAAACCGTTTCCAGAGTGCTGTATGGGTATCTCTTAATGCAATGGTTGTTCCATACAGTCGGTAAGAAAGGCATTGGGGTGGGAAAACGCAAAGGAGCAGGAGCTGGACTCCCGGGAGATCGGAGAGATGGGGGGGGGGTTTCCCCCACCTGAAGCTCTGCTCCTCTTTCCTCTTCCCCCACCCAATTTAGAGTTAGGACTGAGTGGGGCTCCTGGTGACTGTCCACTCAGTCACATACCCAGATTATCTGCCCTGTAAATGCATGATAAAGCCATAGGCACAAGTCTTGCTGTCTAGAAAATAATTGTTTTTGCAACAAAGTTTCCCCAAGAAAGGGGGCTGGCTCTTGGGTCCAGCTTGAAAGACGTCCACAACCAAAGCCTGCCCCTTCTTAGGCTGTTGGTCCCCCCCCCCCAGGTTTGTTTTTCCACTTAATTCACATCAGATATGGGGGGAGGAGTGTTTGAGGAAATCCGTTCTGCTGCGTCTAGGTCCAAGATGGCCTCTAGTGCGCACAGGAAGTCTGTGTTCCTTTTTAACATTAACAGGTGGCCCTTTAGACCAGGGGTCTCCACTCCTTTTGAGGCAGTGGGAACCTTTGGAGTCCTGACACCGGGTGCAGCTGCAGAATGGCTGCCACAGGAAACACAGCCAGCCACAAAATGGCCGCCGCCGCTTCCCTTCAGCCGCACAGTGAAGATCCTGGTGCTGGCAGCAGCCGCCAAAGCAACATTTTAAAAAATCCGCACAGCCAATCAGAAGCCTTGCTGGGCAAAAGCGCTGTCCGGCTCCCCCTTCTAAAAACACCTGGCGGGCACCAGGAAAAGTGTTGGCAGGTGCCATAGCACCCATTGCTACCACATTGGGGACCCCTGCTTTATACCACCGACAGAGCCACTGGGGGGCACGCTTGGCACCTGCTTCTGATTGATGTACGGTGGGCTCCCGCCACCTATTCTTCTGCCCCGTCTTTTCCTCTGGTCATCGGCAGTGGGATCCACTTGCTTTCCAACAGGTAGCCGATGTGAGCAGTGGGGGGGGGAGTTAATCCCCTCCATCTCATTTGGGGGAAACGGCCTTGTTCTAAGTCAGCTTCCAGGGGTGGCCGCCCTTTTGGCTGTGGTTCACTGGTGGCTCATGTTGCTGACCACACCGCTGGCCCTGCAGAGACTGGCCGCTGGTGTTTTCCCTCCTGCAGCAGGACACACCGGGGGTGGGGTGAAAAGGCCTGCAAGCGGCCAGCCTGGTCTAGTGGAAGGATGTCGTTCCCGTGGCATCTTTGGAAGATGCACAGGCAGTGGAGTGGGCGGGAACGCAAGAGCCCTGTTCGCCCGACCAACAGAAGTGTTACTGAAATACATTTTGGATTGCTTTCGGCACTGAAGTGATTTCACTTACCTCAAGTTTCTTTTAATAAAAACAATCAGACCATATCTGCATTCCAGAGCATGGCTTTCATTTTACAACGATCATTTATCTCCCCGCGCCGCGCCCCCAATAGTTTCAGTCACAACAAAGCAAATTTTGAAAGGTCGTAACGTCCGTATCCTCCTCTGACCCCTGGAGGTCAACAAAAATCTCGGGATCTACCCCTCGCTCTGCAGGGAGTCTGTTGCTGTGATGCGGCTGCAGAAGCTGCCCTGCTCTGCCAGAATGCCAGGTGGGAAATGCAGCCGCTAGCCCAGAATACCCGGGAAACCCTTGGTGCAAAGGGGAACCACTTGATGATGGCGCAGGGCAATGGAACCAGGGCCTGCACCACCTCTCCTTTGACTACTGTCAAGCTTCCCCGTCAAGACACTCAACAACGTTCCTTCAGAAGTTTCAGTTTATTGAGAGCTAGTACTCAGGGCACCATGAACACTTGGGTCAGGAATGGCAGCCTAATGATTTGGGACATCAGATATACCCCCTCCGTACATGACCCCCTGATACAGTAAAGCCAAGAGGCAAGCACCAAAAGACGCGGGCAAAAAGCAACGGTTACATTCCCAAGCTAGGAGCAGGCAGAGTAAAGAAGAGAAGAAGAGGAGAATGGATATATACCCCACCCTTCACTACCCAAAGGAGTCTCAGAGTGGCTTACAAACTCCTTTCCCTTCCCCTCCCCACAACAGACACCCTGTGAGGTGGGTGGGGCTGAAAGGGCTCTTGACAGAAACGGTTCTTTTTCAAGAACAGCTCTTGTCAGAACTATGGGTTCACTTAGGTCATCCAGCAGGTGCAAGTGGAGGAGTGGGGGAATCAAACCCGGTTCTCCCAGGTTAGAGTCCGTGCACTCAACCACGACACCAAATCTTCAAGGACACTGGACAGATAACAGGGTGCAGCCGAAGGGGGAAGGGAGGAGGGAGACGAGGAGCAACCCTCCTTAGCCGACAGAGACTTCCATCTGCTGCACCGACCCAGCAGTTTTGTGCAGGATGCAGCAACTTCGCTGTGGGCACAAAGCCCTTCTAATGCTACCTTCTCGCTCTTTTTGTCAGAAGCAGGAAATCTGGAGTGGAATCTTCTCCCTCTTTTTAAATTAAAACATTTCTATTCTGCCGTATGTATCCCTTGGACTCCAAGTTGTTGCCACAGGTATTCCATTGATTTATTTAAAACATTTATTAGCCACCCTTCTTCCTTACGGAGCTCACGGTGGGTTACAATATAGACAGACTGGCATACATAAAGGTACATCATGCCAACATTTAAAAAAAACCCAATTCAGGACTGCCAGTGAACTTAACTAGATGCTGTCTTAAAGCAGTCTTCAGCTGTCTCCTCGAGATCAAAAGTGAGGGGGGGCCACAGGCACCTCCCCAGTGGAGGCTGCTCCATAGCCCTGGGGCTGTCCCTGAAAAGGCCCTCGCTTGTCTCCCTACCAAACGAGCTTTGTTGATTGGTGGGACAGTCAGGAGGGCCTCTCCCTGGGATGTTAATTTCAGGGCAGTAGAAGGGAGGCCGCACAGCCGCCCACGTTTCCCCTTCGGAATGCCCCCCCCCCAATAGAAAACAAGTGGGTCAGGGAGAAGACCCTTCCTTCACCCTGACATTCTGATCTTCTATATGTGTGGATTTGGGGGGACGGGGGGTTTGCAGGGGATTATCTAAGATCACCCCCACCGGATCAGCAGTCTAACACGGTACAATCCAGGAATCTCTTTGCTATCTAAATTATGATGAGTGTAAACTAGAGCTCACATTCACAAATGGGATTTAGTGTTTTTTCTAAGCTTGTTGTACCTCTAAGATGGAGGGTGGGGGGGAAGAGAATAAACACTGAGCAAAATAGTGATGTACTTTATCAGAGCTGCAAAATTTGGCGGTTTCTATATTCAGAATTTTATTTTAAATGCAAAATTTGAGTATATTCATCCCTTGAAGCCCAGCACCTTACCCACCTCCACATCAATGCTGCCACAAACCAAACCAAAATCCACCTCTTAACGTTCAGGGAAAGGGGGGAGAGCACAATTTTGTCCATTAAAACTGTTTTACAAATGGCTGCACAGACACAGCCAGCTCCCAGTTATTCAACAAGATTTAATTGCAGGTGTAACATAATGGAACCATTTCCCCCCTCCTAGGTAAGCGGGATGCGTAAATAGCTCTGTTTACTCCCAAACAGATCCCTTTTAATTTATTTTGTTAAAAAAAACCTTCGTGCCTAATTTAAGCTGAAATGGTGTTAAATTGTATCAAATTGTCAAAACAAAAACAGATTCCATGAGCAAAAAAGGAAGAGCTGCCTCCCTGTGAACATTCCAGATGCACATTTTAAACACTTTACCCTAAAATATCCACATATTTTTAGAATGCCCCTAAGGGCAGCCCTAAAGGCTTCAAAAGCAGGAAGATCAAAGGGCTACCATCTTTTAATTTAAACCTTTTGTTGCTTCAGCTGTCTTAAGAGGGATGAAGAGAGATCAAAATAAAAACGGAAACAAAAAACAGCCGCTTCTCCTCTACCCCCCCCCCCCCCGGCTTGGGGTGTGTGTGTGTGTGTGTGTGTGTGTGTGTGTGTGCTTGAGTCCTTTCTCTCAATTTAGGCCGTGAAATAGGTCAGCTCCATTACCGATCAGCCTTCCCACAAATATTTAAAACAAATTGAATTGCACACCCAATACCCATCACAATTACGCCTGGCACAATAACTAAATTAGCAATTCAACAAAATAATTGGAAATGCGATTCTCTCTATTCTGCAGGTCCCCTCAGGGCTTTTGCCGATCTCTGTATGTGTGTGTGAGTGTGTGCATGTGTGTGGAGGGGGGGAGACACAGCTTTACTAATTCAGAAGCTAATTAGAGCCACACTTGTAAATGAAGTTGTTTGCCTGAAAGTTGAAATTCTGTACTGTTTCATTTGGGGAAGGGGAGAGGGTGGAGGAGTGTCACTTTTGCCAATGTTCGCCTCCCCCCCCCCTTTTAAAACAAGGCAATTCGGAAACAAAAATGCTAATTAACAGCGGTATCTTGAACGGCGGAAGAATTAAAATTCTGTGGGGAAATTCAGGGCAGCTGTTAATTGATGGTATTAGGAACACGTTCTTGAGGAAATCCTGCTTAAACAGTTGGCCTGTCGCTAGTAAATGCTGCTTCAACTCTCCGGCCGCAATACCTGACGGACGCAAAGATGTCAGCTCAACGTGCCCAGCTTGGGAAGCAGCACTGGAGGCAGACTGAGCATCCTCAAAGGGGGGGATATGGGCTACCTGTTGAAGAACCTGCTCTGCGGCTGACCCTAACCTCCCAGTTCAGCACCCTCCGGAGCAGGGGCACCCACTCCGCAGATCGTGGACAGTCAGATTCGCAATTCCCAGCAGCCCTCAAAAGCCACACGACTAAACACGCACAAACAATAATATAGAATAAAACCCTTTCAGTTACTAGTCCTCTGAGCGTGTGGAAGGTGTCATCAAGTCGCAGCCGACTTATGGTGACCCTGTGGGCTTGTCAAG